AGACGGAGTTTCACTCGTGTTGCCCAGGCTGGAGTGCAATGGCTGATCTAAGCTCACTGCAACCTCTGCCTCCCCAGTTTAAGTGATTCTATTCCTCAGCCTCCTGAGTAGCTGGGATTACAGGTGCCCACTATCATGCCTGGCTAATTTTTGTATTTTTAGTAGAGATGGGGTTTCACCAAGTTGGCCAGGTTGGTCTTGAACTTTTTTTTTTTTTTTAAGATGGGATTTCACCATGATGGCCAGGATGGTCTTGAACTCCTGACCTCAGGTGATCCACCCACCTCGGCCTCCCAAGGTCTTGAACTCTTGACCTCAAGTCCGTCTTGACCTCAAATCCGCCCGTCTTGGTCTCCCAAAGTGCTGGGATTACAGGCATGAGCCACTGTGGCTGGTGGAACTGAGTCTTGAGATGTTAAGTCAGTGGCCCAGGATCACTCAGAAGTGGGAGAGTGAGCCTGTGTTAGTGCTGGCTCTGCCTGGCTTTGTGCCCGTACTTGGTGATAAGCCCCCTCCCCATATTACAGCTGATTTCTGTGATAACTCTTTCACAGATGAGGAAACCGAGGCCAGGGGCTTTAGATGCAGGGCTTCTGTATCTGGAGCTAGATTTTTCTGTCTCTGAGTGCCTTACCTTCACCAATACCCGCTTCCCAAAGGGCCTCCCACTAAGAGTCACCTTGCTGGCCCAGGTGACTTCCCGGAAGAGCTGGTGCCAGGCAGGTTATGGACTCTTGGGTGGGTTGGTGCCTCTGTCCACTGCATTCACTTCTGATCTGATGGGGACCAACACATCCAGGCCCTTCTTGTCTGGATCAGAAGAGAAAAGGAGAGGGAACCACATGGGTGAGTGACAGGGGCTTCAGGGGACAAACCAGGACTCTGACCCCCGTGGGATGTGCAGAGGGCCTGACAGGTGTGGCGGTGGCTGCGTGCGCATGCGCAGTCGCTCCAGTTCGAGCACAGCTCGATACTGCTGCCAGATGAGTCCCTGACTGGGAACTGCCCGCGTTTGTCCTCCTGGAAACTCCCAAGGTCCTGGGCCCTGTGTCCTGGGCTGACCTGAGTTCAGGACAGTGCAGCCCCCAAGGAGGAAATTCAAGCAGCTGGCGGAGTTCTGGAACAGATGGCTACTGAGGTGGACAGTGAGGTCTCTGGAAGCCAAGGAGTGGTTTCCTGTTCCATGAGTTTTCTCAGCCTCATTCTGTTCTTCACAACCCCCAGGGAGGACAAGCTGTACCTCATATTTCAATTCCTTTCTTGCAGGGAAGTCCTTTCTGATGTCTGACTTGAGTCTCTCTGGTACTGTGATGGGGTGGAAGGGCTCTTCCCTGGAGCTTGGAGACCTGCTGAGATGTGTCTGACCCCCGCCACTTTCCTCCCCTCCTATGGCGGTGGCCTCCGAAGCCAGCCCAGCAGGCTCCCAGAATCTGTGGGGCCTGTCAAAGGCGCATTGATGGAGCCTGCCCGGGGCCGTCTCACAGCCCTCCTTTCTGGGCACCAACTCTGTCCTTTGGCACAGCCTCACTCAGCTGGTTGCTGAAAGTCTCCCCCAGGCGCAGTGGGCAGGGCCACATCCTGGCTAACATGAGAGCTGGGGCCACCCTGGGAGCTCTGGAAAGAACCTTTTTCCTACAAGCTTCCAGACAGGATGGGCTGGGAGTGAAGGGTCAGGAGTCAGGCAGTTGAGGGTTTGCACTGGACCTGGACCACAAAGCTCTGTGACCTCAGGCAGGGCACTTTGGCTGTCCGTGGCTCCCTTTCCTGATGGGTAAAATGGAGCTGTTAATTGCGTGCATGTACATATGGTAGGACTTAAATGAGATGGTTCATGTAAGACCCTTGGCTCTGTGCCTGCCACTCAGTGCACTGAAGACTTGGTAGTGGCTTATTACGAGTCTAACACCTTTTGGCTGAGGCTTCTGCTTTGCGTTGGGGACTTCTGGTCAGGGTCTTTCTCCTGACCTTCTGTCCCCGTTTCCTGACTGGTTGCTGCCTCAGAGGGCCCCAAGCTGAGGCCCTTTTTGCTCCTGGCCTGACTCCGGTCCCTCTTCCGCCCTCCCGCAGGTGCGCTACAAGGAGGAGTTTGAGAAGAACAAGGGCAAAGGCTTCAGCGTGGTCGCGGACACGCCTGAGCTCCAGAGAATCAAGAAGACCCAGGACCAGATCAGTAACGTGAGCTCCTGCCCCGCCCTGCCCCTTGGTGTCCCCGCTGCCCTCTGTTGGGTCCCCTCCCTGCCAACCTGTCAGACGTGAAGGAGGTCAGTGCCTCCACTGCCCCTGCTCTCCGGGGTAGGCCTGGGGAAGAGCTTGGGATTCCCAGATGCCTCTTCTCTGGGCACCCGCAGATGAGCCCGTATAGTATTTCCTCCTTGAAGGGACTGTGTTCTGGGCGGAAGGAGGGAGGGGGAGCTGTGTGCTAAATCACTCCGCCACTCTCTCTGAAGCTGTTGTTCTTTTTTCTGGGTATGGTGGGTATCAGGGTGTAGACGGCACATCTCATCTTAGCACAAAGGTCAAAACTGGGGTGTGAGGAGTGCCTGGCCTCCCTGGTCTGTGCCTGGGTGCCAACATTGCAGTCATTTCCGCCTTCCTCAGCCTCCTCCCCCACCTCAGCCTCCTCTTCCTTCCTGTGTAAAAACCCCAGCAGGCTTTGCCCGCCAGCCCTGCACCCCCTGGCTCAGACCCCACGCCTCCCTGATGGTCAGTGGCATCTGGCTATGGCAGGAGTGGGCGTGAAGAGTGGGCGGGGGTCAGCTGTTCCCAGTGTCATGTGCCCTCCATGGCACCTGTGGCCAGAGAGCAGGCCTCGGTTTCCTGCTTGGCAGAGCCACAGGCAAGCAGCCTGTGTGGCTTTAGGCAGTTGGGGGCAGGGTGCTGCGGGGAGCCGCAACCACGGAGCCCAGGCAGGGGACCCGCACACAGAACGGCAGGGGGTGCCCAGCCAGCCTGGCCTAGGAGGTCCTGCCAGGGAGGGTTTAGTCAGGCAGCTGTCTTCATGAATGGAACAGGAAGGGATCAGTAAGTTCCCAGTGTCACCCTGGGCTGAGGAACTTGGGGGAGAGATTGGGGGAGTGCCTGGCTTTCCGGTGGTCACCTCAGCACCCACTCCCTGCGCTCCACAGCCCTTCCCACCCTCCACTCGGCCCCCTCGGCAGGGCGCTCCTTTTAGAGCTTGGCTGGGCCATGCCTCGAATGGGCTGCAGTGGTGGGTCAGGTGGATTTCAGAAGCACGGGCGGCCCACACATAGCAGAACCAGCCGTGCCCAAAACTGTGGCTTTCAAACTCTCACTTCAGCTTACAATAAAATACACATCTGACGTCTGACCCATCGACAGGCATACATGTATGGAGAGGGAAAACAGAATGGAAGCTGTCATGCATGAGTACTTCTTACTTCGAGCACGGTCAGATCTTTGTTTTTGAGAGAGTCTCGCTCTGTTGCCCATGCTGGAGTGCAGTGGTGCTCCGCCTCCAGGGTTCAAGCGATTCTCCTGCCTCAGCCTCCCAAGTAGAGTAGCCGGGACTACAGGTGCACGCCACCGTCCCCAGCCTCCCCTGCCTCCCCAGCTAACTTGTTTTTGGTAGAGATGGCGTTTCACCATGTTGGACAGGCGGGTCTCTAACGCCTGACCTCAGTGATCCTCCCACCTCGGCTCCCAAAGTGCTGGGATTGCAGGCATGAGCCACTACGCTCAGATCTTTTCTAAAGATGCTGTTTGCAGGCCCCCACACACCCTCACATCATACAGCCCCTACAAGGACTGAATTCCCAACACTTTGGCAGGTTGAGGTGGGAGGATTGCTTGAGTCCAGGAGTTTGAGACCAGCCTGGGGAACATAGTAAAACTGTTTCTACAAAAAAATAAAAAAACTAGCCAGGTATGATGGCACGCGCCTGTGGTCCTAGCTACTCAGGAGGCTGACATGGGAGGATCACCTGAGCCCAGAGGGTCGAGGCTACAGTGAGCCATAATTGTACCACTGCATTCTAGCCTGAGCAACAGAGTGAGACCCTGTTTCCAAAAAGAAAAAAGATGCTGGTTGTAGGCTTACTGTGAATGGGTTTTGCAACTGGACCTGCAGTTTGCAGTTGGTAGCCTGAGGAAATGGAACGCTTCCTTTTGGCTAGCAGGGCCTGCCTGGGGACGGGTACTCTAATCCTTCTCCCCGCCCCTCCAAGAGGCCTGTCACAGTTGACTCTTTATACACCAAGGCCTGGCCTCACACCCCGGAGCTTCCCTTCGCGCAGACCCTCCAAAGGGTAAGACCTTCAGTTTGTGTCTCAGAGCTCCCCACTTGGAAAGGTGGGGAGGAGGAGATGGCCTTAGATGATGGCGAAAACCCAGGATGGTTTGCAGAGCTGGAATGTTGGCTCTTCAGCCCCTGCGGCTTTTCACGTAAAGGCCCCTCCCTGTCTTTGATCAGTGACACTTGCTCCCAATCTCCACCCCCCAGGCCCTTGGCCGGTCACTCATTGCTTCACCCTGTGGGTTTTGGAGGAGGGGAGAGAAGGAAGCCCAGTCATCCCTGCTTCCCTTTCTGGAAGGCTTCCAGAACACTCCACACTCAGCCTAGGCCAGCTCCTCTTCTTCCCTCCCCCAGTTATTAGAGGTGTTAATGTCCTGGTGACAAAACCCGACACCCTGGCCAAGCCATCCACACCTCGGGAGATAACCATCTTGCCCTCCTCACTGTGCAGGAGGTGGGGGAAGGGACTGAGGCCGGCCTGGTAGCTGCTTTTGCAGCTTTAGCAGAGCCTGTGGGGTGTGACCGCAGAGCCTGGAGACAGCTTGGTTTTAATGAAAGCAGTTACCGTCAGATGTGGGCCTCCAGACAGCTGCAGCACAGTCACCTGGAGGGTTGACTGAAAATGCAGACTCACAGCCTTCTCCCCTGCTGCCAGAATCAGCCTCTCTGGGAGCGGGGCCCAGGAATCAGCATATTAAACACATACCCTGGGTTTCTGTGGTGCTCTCTGAAGTTTGAGAGCCACCCCCTAAAAGTCTGAGAAAGCTGACCAACCCCTAAGGCAGAGGGTGCCGGATCAGGCTGTGCCTCAGAATCCCAGGGAGCTTTATTTTTATTTTTATTTTTGAGACAGGGTTTCGCTCTGTCATCCAGGCTGGAGTACAGTGTTTACGGCTCAGTGCAGCCTCAACCTTCTGGGCTCAAGCCATCCTCCCACCTCAGCCTCCTGAGTAGCTAGGACCACAGTTGTACACCACCACGTCCAGCTAGTTTTTCTTTTTATACTTTATTTTTTTCAGAGACAATGTCTTACCCTGTTGCTCAGGCTGGAGTGTAGTCACGTGATCATAGCTCACTGCAGCCTTTAGCTCCTGGGCTTAAGTGATCCCCCAGCCTAAAACTCCCAGGTTGCTGGGATTACAGGCACACACCATCACACCCGGTTATGTTGTCAGTGTTATTAATCCTTTAAAGGCAGGCCTGTCTGCTTTCTACATTGTCGTCAAAGGGACATGAAGTGAAGTGTGGCCGAAAAGTTTGGCCATTGTCTAGTACTGAGAGTGTGTGGAGATGAGGAAGTGGCTAGTATATTACACATCTATGGTGAGTAGTTGTGTCATCATTAAAGGCATCTAAAGAGTTGCCTTTTGATGGATCCATGCTATGGGGTGAAGGTTACATGTTAGGCATCCTGGCCTTTGGTCATGAGCTCTAGTGGTGTTTGAGGATGGGAAACTTTAGTCACTGGAGTCCCTTTATGGGAGCCTCTTTTATTTGCTTACATATGGATTTTCTGTATACAATTTTGTGTCCTTACAACTTTTTTTATGTATGGAATATGACACATAGTAACACATATAGTAAACACCTGTTTACTCACCAGGCAGGTATACTATACATTGTATTACCATACGCCTGTCAAGATCTTGTTCACAGTGTTAAAAATATAACTCCCACGTAGCAAGTACTTATCATAGCTTTATTTAATTATGAGGGAACCAGCTGGAGATTCAGGCTGGGGAATATGAGAGGCAGAGGTAAATGCTAGTCTGTGAAGGAAAGTACTGGGGCCGGGCGAGGTGGCTCATGCCTGTAATCCCAGCACTTTGGGAGGCCGAGGCGGCGGATCACCTGAGGTCCAGAGTTCAAGACCAGCCTGGCCAACATGGTGAAACTTTGTCTCTACTAAACATAGAAAAAGTAGCCAGGTGTGGTGGTGCATGCCTGTAGTCCCAGCTACTTGGGAAGCTGAGGCAGGAGAATCACTTGAACCTGGGAGTCAGAGGTTACAGTGAGCTGAGATTGTACCAGCATTGCTGTGTTCAAAATCAGGAAAAGCAAAACACTTTGCTGGATTGCATTCCAGCCTCGATGACAGAGCAAGACTTCTCCCAAAAAAATAAAGAAAGAAAGTGCTGGATACAGTTAGCTACAGAACTGGTTAAGGGCCTACCATTAGTTACACATTGATTAATGTCCTACAGGACAATAAAATCATAGACCTTGAAAATATCTTTGCTGCAGGCAGAAATGCTTTGCATCTCAGTTGGCCAAAAATAATTAGCATTTTGTATTCTATAATGAGCCTCAGTCATTAGAGTCTGAGCCTAATCAATAGTAAATTGCCAAACAAAGTTTTGTTCCCAGAGTCAAAGTCAAATATCAAACTAGGGATAATCCTCTAGTTCGATTTTGAAAGCATGCATTTTTCATTATGGTTTTAATATATAATTATGTATTCCTAAACACTATAAACAAAAGTGTTTTGCTTTTCCTGATTTTGAACACAGTAATTTTGTATATCTTGCTTCTCTTGCACACCATTGGGTTTGAAGATTCATCCATATGTTTTCATAGCGGTGACACATTCTTTTTCATTGCTATATAGTATTCCATTGTTTGATTATACCACATTTTATTGGTTCTGTTGCTGGTGGACATTTGTACTGTTGCAAGTTGCTCTGGAGATTTTTGTACATATCTCCTGAGGTCTATGTACGTTGGAACTGCTGCATTTTAGAATGTGTGCTCCTTCAACTTTATCAGATAATACTGAACTATTTTCCAAGTGGCTGCCCTGATTTACCCTCCCAGCAGCAGAGATGAGTTTCCATTGCTCCATGTGCTCAGCTCTGTTCATGATCTTAGCATTTTGATCGTGTGGAGTGTGAGAGCCCATGGTTTTAAACTGCATTTCTGTGAT